GTGTCATGGTGTGGGGAATCTTTTCTTGGCACTCTTTGGGCCCCTTGGTACCAATTGAGCATCGTTGCAACGCCACAGCCTACCTGAGTATTGATGCTGACCATGTCCATCCCTTTATGACCACAAAACCGTTACTAGCGTGGTGTACCTAATAAAGTGGCCGGTGAGTGTATATACATATACTGTATATATATTAATACACATGAATCTTATTTTATTTGTGACAAAAGAATAATGGACTACACCAGACTTGAAGGAAAAATGCAGAATGTTGAACCTGACCTTTCAGCAGTATGATGCTTAAGAAAAGGTAAGACCACAAGGAACATTAAGCTAATGTCAGCTTCTTGTTGTTTGCTACAGTGGCTCACTACTGTTGCTGTGAAACTTGTGCAAAAAAAAGTTACAGTCACTGGAAATGATTCTTGTAAAAGTTAATCTCATCTGCGTGACGTAACACCCCTCAGTCAGTGAACTGATGTTGAATTGGGCTGAGCAGCCTGGTCTGACTGGAACCACAGTGGTCAAGGTTCAGGAAATCAGGGTGGACCTGGGCCATAAGAGCTAATGCAAAGACACCGGACTCAGGTTTGAACTACAGCCAGTGCAAAAATGCCTTTAGTCTCTCCAGCGTGTTCTGGGTCTTCTCCATTGTCTCCTCCAAGTTGGACATGCCCAAAATACCCCAGGGAGACATTCACCTTAAAGCTGCACTAGGTAACTTTTGTATATATTTTATATATTTAAAACTGTCCCTATTTCCTAACAGTAGAATATGAGACAAATAAGCTGTGGAAAAAAATGAAGCTCCTTTGGCTCCTCCAGGTTGTCCTACTGCCAGAAACAACCAATCACATTAGTTTACGCGCTGCTCATGCCCCTCCATTCTCACATCTCGTACCCTCGTTCAAGCTCAAGCTTGCCGGCGTGCTGCAGCTGTGCTGATGGAGGAGAAACAAGCTAACCTCACAAGAGAACTGCCACTTTCTGAGAGTTCTGAATGTGCCACCGCTGTTTATCCGCCATCATCGGTGGCCCTGCTGCTTACTAGGAAGGGGAGGAGGGACCTGTAAGGTGTGCTTTTTCAAATGTTCAGGCTAAATCTGCAGTTGTCTTAGAACTCCCTTTTGCATTTTAACGGGCTCCTTCTAATGTGGAGGAGCTGAAGCTCTGCTCTGAGTCTCCCAGAGAAAACCAAACATCTCACCCCTATCTCTGAGGAAGAGCTCGGCTAAAACTCATTCGGTCGCTTGTATCCATGATGATAAAAGTGGAAAAATCCCAATTAATAAGAATACCTTGTCTGTGTCGACACCCGTCATAAACTCCTGCTCCACTGTCAGGTTCTCAAAGAAGGCCTCAGACGCTGAAACAGGACAGTTTAGATGTGATCACGTGCCAGTGGACAAACACGACACTTTCAATTTGCATTGATGAGATTTACTGTAAGGGAACTCTGCAAAGACGACACAAACCAACATAAATCCTAAAGTTGCAGTTTAAGTTGGACATGACGTGGTTGGGTACATACTGGTTATGTCTTTAATCAGCTCGGCGATAGAGGTGTGGTTAGCCAGGGAGCTCCGCGCTGCCTGCATGTGAGGCAGCTGAGACACAAACTGCTTTATTTCTCCCACTGTTTTAGCATTGTGGCGTTCCTGAGTGAGAAAAAACACACATAAAGGACTGTTAATGAACACTGCTACAGGAAGTCAGCTTAAAGAAGCTTAATGTAAATTATTTTCTGATATGATGTAAAAATTAAGAATTATAACTGCTTTAACAGTTCTTATTATTATCAGATAGATTTCTTTATAAAGCTTTGCTGTAAAAGACTAAAATGAGCTCAGATCAGCCCCCCCCCCTGCATCGTCGCTACATTGAAACCCTTTGTGAATATTACAGTTTATCATCATTTTCTTCCAGAAGGGAAATACGGGAAGGTGGGCAAAAACTGATGCCAGACAAACCTCAAAAGCAGCAGATATAATTTTGGCCTTCTTGCTCAGCGCTGCCCCGACGGCGTTAAAGTTTTTGTCTCGGATTTCGGCGTACAGCTCTTCTGCCGAGTTCAGCTGCAACTTCTTGGGCTCTGTAGGTAAATCCTTGCTGGCTTCGCCTTGTTTCTTCTGCGCAAACTTCTCAGGAGGAAGCTTCACGTATCCTGTCAGAGAGAACGAATGGTTCCAAACATGCTGGTTTGATTTAAATCATTTTAAGACTTCTGGTTCGGCTAAAACACATACTGTATCTGCCTCAAACATGAAGAGAACGGTTACTTGGTAACCCCATAAAATTATATAAGACTGTAACAATATTAGACACAATAATAAAGAAAAATCCATAATCTGACCATTGGTTATTCCATAGATCTCATCAATGAGCCCTTCGTAGGTGAGCTGTGTAGCCAGTGGGGTGAGCAGGTCGACGTTACGGTCCAGGAGGAGAAGAGTATCGAACACCGGCAGAATTTGGTTCTGAGTACCAGCGAACTCCCTCTTCATCCGCAGCATCATGTTGGCAACATGCTGTGGAGCAGCAGAGACTTTCCAACTCAGAAATATCTATTTACCCAACCTCTGTGTAACCAGTTTTCTCAATCTCGCAGTAACCGGCGTTTAATAAATGCTCACTCGTGCGCAGTCTCCTTTCCCAAAGATCTGTGGAATGGTACCATAAAGTGCCTGTAATGTCATGAGACCTTTGGCTGTGTGGTACAGGCTCGTTTGGTCGTTTTCCAAGTAGCACTCCTGAATTAGACAAAGGGAAAAACAAGATATCATAAGTTTTTACGCTATTAGGATACACTGCTGCAAAAAACACTATGGACCTATAATATGCTGAATAATAGGTTCTATTGTAAGGTTTAATACTATAACACTAAAATATTTAAGATGCGCCTTAAACTCACTCTGAAAGCGCTTTCATACTCCATGGAGAGCAGGTCGCCATCATAAGGGATCAGGTCCAGGATGTACTCGTCAATGTTGGTGAAAGAGGCCAGCACGCCCTGCTCCTTCAGCCGCTGCTCACACAGCATGCTCCGCCGAGGCACAAACAAAATGTGGAATTCTCGGGACGAATGCACCTTGCTTTCACTAAAACGTTGCAGCATCCAGGACATAAATGTTAGAAAACGTCTGAGCACGTGTTTCAAAGTGAGGAAGAGGACGTATTTATCGCAGTTAATCGAGTCAGGGAGGAAAACGAGACAGATATAAACACCTAAATATGTTGTCGGCAATGATGTCCATAAGCTCCAGCCTGGGACGAACGAAGAAGATGATGTTTTTGACATCAGCAGAGGGGAGCCTGCCACTCTTGAGGGTAAACATCTTTTCCACTTCATGTTCCTGAAACACACAGACACCCAACAAGAGGAGCAGAAAACTGCATTAGGCGTGGTCAAATTAGTTATATTTACAATTTACAGAGAAGGCCCTTACCTTCAGTAGAGAGTACTGAGCTATGAGTCCAAAAGGTCCTGTCAGGTATTCATCCCAAACTATGGCCTAAAGAGCAACAGCACGTCATGCAGCGAGGCAGAAACAATCAGCTGATTGTGAAACTGTTATAAGTGACCGCGTACATTAAAAATAAGCTGACATAAACATGACATAATGTCTTCAGTTTACACTCCATGTTTAAAAAAAACTGAGAAACAGAATGACTTGCATCCCATCCCATTTGAGTCGTCATTGTTTTGTCTAGACTGAACATGTTTGTGTATTTCAGTTTATTTTTACCTTGCTTCCTGCGCATTTGTCCAAAAACTCTCGCAGATCTTTCCGTGCCGCTTCTCTTAATATGTTTAAATTCACTCTGCCGTACGACAGATGAGCCGCCATGTTTCTTCTTTATCAACATCAGGTGACTTCAGCAGGAAGTCAAAGTCACGTGACCAAACAGCTAGGTCGCACACAATTATTTTACAGATTATGCGGGGTTATAGAACTTGTGTCCTAGTTTTGTGTTTAGTGGTCTATGCTATGTCCTATGGTTCTCAAAGGATATTTAATTTTGAAACTAAGCTGGCCCTCCAACTTCACTCGTGATGCTAATCTAAAAACAACGCCTCTTTTATAAAGTATAAGACTAAAAACAGCTTTAACTAGGTGTTATATTACTTTCATGTTCTAAAATACATTTTGAATTACATGCTGACACGTGCTTACAGTCAAATCCCTCAACCGAGTCGTCTCGGGTTTACAAAGAAGGAAGTACACGAAGACAATTATCTTGCTGAGTTTATAGTCTTTTCTGTTGGTGTGGTAAATGTGCGCTAAAAAACGCAGAAAAGTTTTTTTTTTCCCGCAAAAGCGCGGTTTTATTAGAAAACATTTTTTGCATTACCTTTACTGATTCCTACCACAATACTGTCAAAAGTACTCCCTAAACAACGAGAACGTTTGTTTGTTTCTTTGTTGCTGTAATGAACACGGCGACCTTTAGGTGGCGCAATGGCCCCGTTGTAAAAATAAAATAAAAATTCGATTCATGGTGCAAAAACAGCACTGAACGCGTTCATCACTACAACTCTCCTTTTAGATTTTATTTTATTTTTGTCATTTTGGGGGAATATGCATTTGTTTAAATTAAGTAATAAAAGCCAAACTTACGTTTGATTGAGAATAAAAACATGAACTGGGAATATTTATGTAAAAACAGAACAAATAATACAAATGTAAACGACATCTAACATTGAAATAAAAAGGCCAATTCTATTTAGT